GGAGGAGGACTCCTCCTCCTAGCGCGCCATAGAGGGCCGGCCGGCCTCCCCCTTGCTCCTTTATATACGGGGGCAGGGGGCACTTCTAGACACAGAAGTTGATCATTAATCCCTTAGCCGTGTGCGGTGCCCCCCTTCACCATAATCCACCTCGATTATATCGTAGAGGTGCTTAGGCGAAGCCCTGCGTCGGTAGCAACATCATCACCATCAACACGCTGTCGTGCTGACGGAACTCTTCCGTGAAGCTCTGCTGGATCGGAGTTCATGGGACGTCATCGAGCTGAACGTGTGCTGAACTTGGAGGTGCTGTGCGTTCGGTATTTGGATCGGTCGGACCGTGAAGATGTTCGACTACATCAACCGCCTTCTCATAATGCTTCCGCTTACGGTCTACGAGGGTACGTGGACGATACTCTTCCCTCTCGTTGCTATGCATCACCATGATCTGGCGTGTGCGTAGATTTTTTTTTGAAATTACTATGTTCCCCAACACCAGGATCGCGTCAAACATGGCGTCGGGCGACGAGGCCGGCTGGGCGCCATCGTCTTCGTCCTCAGCGGCGGCCTCGGCTCTCACGACGTACTCCTCCAGAACGTTGGCCCCTCGTGGAGCAGGAGCTCGTGGGGCAGCGCGGGAGGCTGGGATCCGGCGGCACTGTTGCGGATTCAAAACAGACATTGATAAGATCGTGTGGCAGTTTTACAATCTGTCACATGGTTGCCACATACATATTTCCATAAAATAAAATATCATTTGTTAAAAAAAAACTTACTCGTAACTTCAAAAAAAAGTCGCCTCCTCCCTTTTCCAACCCCCGCTCCCCACCAGGCCACTCCCTCCGTCTCTCGGCAGACGCAAAAAGGGATGAAAAACCAAACTTCTCCCGCAAGACTGGCTCGCACCAAATCGCATCGCCCTTCGAGTCGCCCCTCACTGATCCCTTCGCGTCCTGCTTCCCAAGCCACAGCCCCCAGGCCCCCACGCCCAGCTCCTCCCGCTCCGATTTCACAGCCGGCGAGCTAGCCATGTCGATTCGGCCGCTGTTGCTGCCGGAGCCGCCGGGCGAGGTGGATCGGGCGCCGGAGATCTTCGCGGGTGGCGTGGCCGCGGTGCGCCGCGCAGTCGTCATCGGGAACGGCTGCGCCGGCGCCGAGAACCAGTGCCTCGGCCTCGTCCGCGCCCTCGGCCTGGCCGACCGCCTCACGCTCTACGTAAGCAGAGCGCCGCCCCTCTCGTTTCCTCTCGTCCTGCTATGACTGTGTGACAGGATCGTTGTTAGTGCCCTTGTTAATCATGTCATCAGCTTAGCGTGGCATCGCGTATTGCGATTTAATTATTTGCTTAGTAATTTTACTAGAATAAAGGCCGTTGCTTGCAACCAATTTACTTGCAACGGAGAAGATTAGGCGGATGTGTATAATTTAGTTACTGGAATTATGTTTTGTTTGAAGTACATGTACCAGGAGCCTATTCAGGTATTTTCTAAAAGTGAATTCTCTAGAAGAGGATCAAAAGTAGTGGATTCTAGAATTATCCGGTTGAGCCTATTCAGGTATTCCCTAAAAGTGAATTCTCTAGAAGAAGCTCTAAATATGTATTTGGCTTCTTGGATGCTTATCAGACGCCACAAAGCATTTCAGATGATGTGGCGTTTTGTTAGCTCTTCTTTTGCACTCAGCTTTGATAAGAGGTTGATTTGATCATCTTATATTTTTGCTGTAACATTATACTACCTTGACATGGCTGTTGTTAGATACTATGTTAGAGCAACTCTAGCAGAGTCACCATATTGGCAGCCTCCAAAACATGTAGGGAGCACGCTCCGTAATATTATGGAGGCTGCCGAGGCGACGCGCAAACTCAAATGCGCCATATTGCAGCCTCCATATTATTTTCTTTTTTTATTGCATCACCTCAATACTCATACACTCAATTTGAGGGATTGAACACTTGACTAAACATTGCGTTACAAAGTTGTTACATGGAGGGAGAAAAGTCGATTAATGACATTTTTATATCACATGTGTTCAAAATTTGTCTCTTTTACATATATTTAGTGACTATAGCTTGATTTTGAGCCCCATGTCGATGGTAAATGCCATGCATGGGGGCACATATGTGGCGAGTCTAGACGAGGCGGTGTGACAGTCCGTCGCGGTTCAGGCTGGAGCGGCGGAATTGGGTGACCTCGTCTTCGTCCCATTCCTGTCCCGTGCGGTCGTCGAGGTCGGGGATGGCTTTATAAGTGGGGGCAAGGCCCAATATGGCGTGATTCGTCCGAATCTGACCGTCTCTGTGTTGAGTTTGCGCCATCTGTCATGCTTCCTCTCCACCACAAAATCCGCCGATGCCTTCTCGTACTCAAGCTAGACAGCGTGGTCCCTCCCCGCCGCCAACGCCTGCCTGACGATGGTCTCCTTGAAGATTTTGTTGTGGCAAGATCCCTCCTGCGCAGCCTCCAACGCGCTGCGGCGGTCCATCTCCTCATCGATTTCGGCGGCCTCTTCCTCCACTTCCTTGTGGAGCATCCGTTCCTCCTCCTCCAAGAGCGGAACCCAGTCCAGCTGAAGGGGAAGCGGCATGGTGAAAGTAGAGGCGAAGAGGAAGTGGAGCTCTGGGGCAACCCGGGGTGGCGACGGCCTTTTTATAGGACCAGGCAGCGGGAAAACATGGCGGCAGATTGCACGGGCAGTTGGGCATGCGGCATCTGCCATTAATTGGCCCGTTTCCCGCTGAGATGAGCTTCTGCTGTCCGCGCTATTGGCATGGAAGGAAGATGGGCCGCACGGGAGGATGAGGAGAGAGGTGAAACTTTCCTCCTGCGTGGGCGGTTAGTGATGGAGCGCGCTCCAAAGCAACACCCCACGGCCTCCAAATATGGAGGCTCGGGGGCTTGATTTGGAGCGGCCTCCATAAATTATGGCGATGCAGGGCGGGATGACGACTCTGCTAGAGCAGACTTTCCGGTCAAAATCGCCAAACAGGCGGTTAAGGATCGAGCCGATATGGCGACTCTACTAGAGTTGCTCTTATATGGCAACTAGTCATCATTCCTAAACGCAAGCTGCTAGAGAGTAAGAGCAACATGTTCAAGGCTTGGTTTTGGAGGTGTAATCATGGTTTAAGCACAACATAGCCTTGACCTCAGTAAGTAGTGTAAGAGGATTGCTTCTAGCTTTTAGAGGGGTTCGTTAATTGTCACTACAGTCTCTTCTTTTAAAACTTTTACCATGTCAGTGTTGTAGTCTGTTGCTGCAAATTAGGGGGGTAAACATTATTGTCACCCTGTCAAGTTAATTCTGAAACGTCTCATCCACTTAATTCTCAGATGGCGATTTTTGGATTTGGTACCGCTTAATTCTTGGCCTGGCCTTTGCTCTGTGCATTCATGGGGTTTCAGCAGCATGTAGTGCCTTAGTGGCTTAGTGCTCTCTTTGTCATGTGGTGTCCATGGATTGAATTTTGGGTTGTGACGTACTGATTGGAATCTGGGAATGGCTCTACCTTCAAATACTCTAAATAGATTGTCATTTCTTTCTGGATTGCTGTTACTTATAGTCCTGCATGGGCTCAGTTAACAACATAGTAAATAAGAAAACCATGCCAGTGAAAAGTTAATATAATGCTTGTCATTTCTGTCTAGTCTGTAGTTACTCATATGCATGTGTATTAGTTCGGTTAACAATATAAATAGGAACTTAATATAATGCAAATTCTTATTGATATTCGCTATCTTTATCTTTCTCGGTATTTTTCTTAGGTCCAATTATATAACTATGTCACTGACCTCTTCAGTATGCTTTTTTTTGCCGTTCTTATGGATCTTGAGTACTCTCATTATTAACTTTTTTGTTGAAATATATTTTGTCATGCAGCGTATTATCAGGCCAACCGGAGGAATCAACAAGTGGCTGCACTTTCTCCCTATCTCCTTGCATAAAATGGTGGACCAAGTACTCAGACATATACTGTCTAACACGACATTCACAACACTGTTTCAAGGAAAACTGTCAGCACCTTATCCTGTCAGTAATGTTCAATCTCTTGGATTGTCTTCTATACTAGAAGCAGATTCCAAAAGGATAGTGACAATGGTCCGTGATACCTTCGAGAAGTAAGGTTCACATTTCTTATATTGTTGCTTATGTCGTTGATTACTTTATTACCTGGTCTAACAACTTTATGACTTAATTATAAGTTATAATCACCACACTGACTGCTTATGGCTGAGCTTGTGTTGGTATATCAGGAAGATATAGTAGAATCATATAATTCGTTTTCATTTCTCTTCTTGGTGATGGAACCTGTAAGAATATGTCATATCAGTATCACTATCGTGACATACCACTATGTCGAACATGTCATATCCTTGAATACTTGTACCATACTTCCAGGAAGAACATTTGAAAGAGAATGTGTTCTTTCATGAATTTGAAATAGGCAACCTATTAAAACATACTTCTGATTGGTCAGTTTCATATGAAAAATGTAGGCTAGCCTAAACATTCTTTAGTATGTTTGCGCCATAAGTATTCAAACGTTCCTGGCATATAGTTCTTCTGCTCTATTTCCTCAAAGTTTGATTCGCTTTCAGGGAAGGCCTGGCCATAGTTGTTGCTTGTGGCCGTGATACCATACCATATGCAAGCTCTGTAAGGTGTTTAGCTCCAGATAATGTCTTTGTCATTCAGGTAGGATACTGAAACAAATATCAGTGGCTTATTTGATAATTTTTCAGTTGTTACTCAGCTAGGGATATGAGCCATTGTGCTGCTTGCCATCCAAATTTGAGCTGAGTTTAATTATACTGTATTTTCTATGTCAGATACAACACCCCAGGTATCGCCTTGATAGGTTCGATTTGGTGGTGACTCCTCGCCATGATTACTACGCTTTAACTGCAAAGGGACAACAAGAAGTACCGTGGCTTTTCCGGAGATGGATTACTCCACGAGAACCACCCGGTCCGAATGTGGTATGCTGCTTTTTTTTTTCCTTGCAAATCTTCATATGTTTTCATCCAGCTGTTCTAGTTCTAAACTTTGAACGTTGGAAAGCTAGGTCCTGACATCTGGAGCACTTCACCAAGCAGATTCTGCTGCACTACGCATTGCTGCTACAAACTGGCATGATGAACTTGCTCCCTTGCCAAAGCCATTGGTAGTAGTAAATATTGGAGGACCAACAAGTAAACTCCTCCTTCCCTTCCTGCCTACATGTTAGAGAAAATCTGTCGTATCCCTGTTTCACGACATGTCATTGAACAAGCCACTGCGTTGCCAAATCGATGTCCTCCATATCATTTAGTGCAGTACACGAATGTGAAGCTCATGTTCTGGATTTTCTGTTGAAGGCTGGGGCCTCATGCCCATGCCCCCTATCTCACCTAGTAGCAATGTCTATGTAACCCCCCATCATTTCTGCACGCCAGTTGGAGTAGTTCATCGAATGGTTGGCTGCCCCACCATCTGTGACACACTACACATAACTACAAAACAGATGACTTATTTGACTGTGGCAAGAGAACCAATTTATGGGCCTGTTTGGTTTCCAGCCTAAGGTTGCCACGCCTAACCTTAGTCATGCCACAACATTCTAGGCATGTGTTTGGTTCATTGCCACACTTGTGGCTTGCCATATGGTCCACATGTCATAGGCTCAATTTTTTGCCAAATCTTGCCACACTTGTGGTGGCCATTTTGTTAGCCACACTTTTTGTGGCAGCCACACTTTGCCTAAGGTTAGTTGTGGCGAAGTTATTAGTCATCAACCAAACAGGCCCTATATCTTGACCTACTGATTTATCCTGCCCTTTCCTTTTTGTTTGGGTTTGGTACGCATGTTATCGAGTAAGAACAATCTCATGTTATTCAGTAGCCGATATTTCATGCACTCTGGATTAGAACAGCATTTGTGTTAGAGTATGCCAATTGAATAAATTTGATGTCTTTAGCTGTAGTATGCTTTAATGCAATAATAGGTATAAATATAATACATTTTACATCTTAAAAGATGGGGTTGTTGCCTTGTTGGGTTACTTTAATAGACAGGGTTGCCAACTTAAATAAGGTTTTGTTACTAATTGCAAACACTCAAGTCTAATATACATCACCTGAAACAAAGTATTTTGTATCATGAAGATAAACCTTCCGAACTGAGATGGAGTACGTGCATTTTCTGAATGCCTTAATCCCAAATTTACACTTTATCAGGAATTCCATTGTTATACTGCGTTTTTCTTCTTACAAAATCATGAAACCAAGCAGGACAAGTTATTTTTATTTGCATCTGATCATGTATCGCACAATTTAATTGTGGAATTTAAGTTAGACTGTATGCTCATAGAAACAGGACATGGTAAATAAATTTCGAAGCCGCGCCTTCCATTTTTCTCATTCGTGTAAACTCTTGCATTTCCACATGTTTTCTCTTCATCTTACTCCCTCCATACACAGGAGTGGCGTCTTGGGATGTGTGCAGTGAAACTTCTAAATATCTGGCCAATGATATCTGTATGATTATTTAGATTGGAGTTAACCACATTAAAATGATAAAAGATACTTCAAAAAATTTATTGAAAAATATTTTGGAGACCTGGGTGTGTGAGTTGGGGCGGGGGTATTATTACTACTCTATTTATCTTGTTCAAATTTGCCAAGTTGCTGTTGCTAACAAAATACAAGCATTTTTATGCATTCACTTGCTTCGTACTTTTAGAATTTTGAGACCACAGTTTGAGCAGTTTCTGCTTACACGCTGATATATATAGATCTAATGCATGGCATTTCAATTCTCAGGAAACTGTAATTATGGTGTAGACCTTGCCAAGCAGTTGGTAAGCTCACTGCACAATGTTTCAGAGACCTGTGGAAGTGTCAGAATTTCATTTTCCAGGAGAACACCACAAAAGGTAGGACCATTGGTTGCTCATATCTTGTTTTATGAAATTGTGCACAGTTAATTTTTTGGAACCCTTTTTTTGGCAGGTGTCCGATCTTATATTGAGAGAGTTCAGCACACATCCAAAGTTCTACATTTGGGGTGGTGAAGGTAGATAGTACCAAATAAAAAAAATGGCATTTTCAGATGTTTTGATTTTTCAACGCAATGCAGAATTTACGCTGATCCGAATTTTCATATGCTGCAGAACCTAACCCACACCTAGGGCATCTTGCATGGGCCGATGCTTTCATCATAACAGCAGACTCGATAAGTATGCTAAGTGAGGCGTGCAGCACTGGGTGAGTTAGTGCTGTATACTTATACTCGTTGTTCCTGTTTAGGACAGTAAGTAGCTAAGCTTCCTATTACCTCTCTTTCAGGAAGCCGGTCTATGTTGTTGGAACTGAGCATTGCAGGTGGAAATTCTCAGATTTCCACAACACTCTGCAGAAACGAGGGGCTGTTCGTCCTTTAACTGGATCGGAAGATGTAAGTTTGCTATCCCTTCTCAGTTCACATCTCTCTAGTTACTCCTTATCAAGACCAAATCGTGTACTTCTGTTACAATTTTACCATATTGCGAGAAACGAGAGTGTTCCTTTTCCCCTTTCTGGCCACACATTTCTCAAGAGCAAATTCATGGCATGTCTACATGACCCTTTCCTCCATTGTAGATGTCAGACAGCTGGAGCTACCCTCCTCTGAACGATGCCATTGATGTGGCTGCACGGGTTCGTGAAGTGCTTGCACAACGTGGATGGACAGTGGGTTAATAGCGGTCGAATCAGAGAAAAAGAGTGCCATTTTTGCTCCAGTTATGTTCCAAGCCCAGACAATTCAGAGCCCACGTTTCAGTTATCTTAGTTGCATCTGCATGAGGATTTTTTTTGCCATATCACCGATGCAAAGCGAGATCGCTTCTTTGCAGAAGATGGCTATATTTTTGGGAACATACTGCGTAAAGTTTTGAGCAATCACACACAGACAGCAGTGTTTATTCTTGGCATATTCATGCATTATTGTACCTAGTGTTATGCTGTAAAGAATCCGATAGAAGTGCGGACTGAGATTAAAAATCTTTGCCATTGGAACGAGGTGACATCATACATTGGGTTATGTGACTGTTAAGTTTATCAGCAGCAAGTCCTACTGGTCTTTTGTGCTACACAAGCATACGACGATACGCATATGCTGCGTTTTGTAATAGTATGGGAAACGTGGATGCCACGTTAGGTTCATCTAGCACATATTTTAAAGTACTACTCCCTTCGTTTCGAATTATTGTCTTGAATTTGTCTAGATACGGATGTATCTAGACTCATTTTAGTGCTAGATACCTTTGTATCTAGACAAATCTAAGATAAGTAATTCGGAACGGAGAGAGTACTTGCAAAGCTTAGCACCGTGTGGTGGTTTTGGCGATTCTTTGGAATTGACCATAGGTTTGGGGCTCATTCGGTTTGGAGAAAACTAAAATATAAGAATTATGAATAGTATATGAATTTGATAGGATGACACTTGTCATCCTAAAGAATTGTCTTCCGTGCAAAATAAGCTTTGAGTTGATGTATTGATTTCTCTTCTTAAAACACAGAAAATAAATAATATTTATATATAATTTCTGTACGCCTTTTCTATATATCGAATGCATCTATTCAAGAAAATTCTATGAAATCCTTGTTCTTATGTTTTTTCTATAAAAATCTTTCAAACCAAATGAGGCCTCGGCCTTTTCATACGCTGGTGAAGATTTTGTAAGATTTCCACGTGGCCTTTGACAGATTGCTGACTTTTGTGAACGTGAAGCCAAGAGAAGCTTCCTACTCCCTTCGTTTCAAAATAGATGACTCAACTTTGTATTTTCTCCGTCCGAAAATACTTGTCATCAAAATGAATAAAAAGAGATGTATCTAGAACTAAAATACATCTAGATACATCCCCTTTTATCTATTTTGATGACAAGTATTTCCGGACGGAGTGAGTATTAACTTTAGTAAAGTTAGTACAAAGTTGAGTCATTTATTTTAGAATGGAGAGTAGTATTTACCCCTAATTTGGAAGTAATTGAAACATTAGATTAAATAGTTTACTTTGACCCACTAACAGCATCTACAACCGAATCCCTCATTCTTGCTCTAAACGTTCGATTAGTGTCCGAGCGAGTTTTGGCCACCCAACTGGGCTTCCCATATTCGGATCAAACACTCGGACTGACCAACACTCCCCATAGCCGGCAACTGGGCTTCCCATAGCCACCCAACTAGAGAGGCCTGGACTTGTCCGGGCCCGCCCACCACATAGGAGTAACAGATAGGGCCCACGCGGTCATGCAGAGAGACTGCTGGTCCTACGGGCGCCTCATTCGCTTGCGCCGCTCTGGCATGCCAACCGAGGGAGGAAGCCGGCTATTTAAGCCGGACGATGGCAGTAGCACCCTAGCCCACCCATTTCTTCCCCTTTCTCCTCTCCGCCACCGGCACTTGCACTTCCACCCACCGCTTGCAATGTTGAGGCGTCGGATCACAACCTACATCATGCTCTCTCGGGAGCTGAGGGTGCAACTGTTGGAGCAGATCCAGGCGAGGCGGGTTGCTCGTTTCGCCGTTGGCCTTCCTCTGGATTTGCTAAACCCATCGGAGGATGAAGAGGAGGAGGAGGCGAGGGAGGAGAAGGGGGAGCAGCCGCCAGAAGCAGAGCCCATGGAGGAGGAGGTGTTGGAGGAGGCGTTGCTGGTTGCGGGCTTCGCCATGGCGGACGCAAAGGCAAAGTACGAGGCCACCCAAATGATGGAGATGGCGCAGCACACCGCCATCCTTGAGTCCACCCAAGATGAGGACTACGTCGAGGCCAACCGGCAGTTCATCCAGCAAGAACAGACAACGACGGAGGCGCTATTCGCCAAATTAGAGTCCGGGAAGATGTCGGAGCTTCCACAGGCGCATGAGCATTTGCACTTGCCCGTCTACCCGGTATCGGGCATGGAGATCATCGATATCTCTAACGATGAGTAATTTTACCTATGTATGTAATACATAGGTCTTTTTTTGCATGGGCATTATAAATTTGATGTATGGAGTTTGAGTTTTATGGTTGTGGAGGACGTTTTTGGTGTGGTGTTCGGTCACTGTCCGCTGACGCGTTCGGGGGTGTTCGCAAGCGTTTGGGGGTCGGCTTTTGGGTATTACGGTTGTAGGTGCTCTAGACTTCACAACGTCGGCCCTTGCCCGCATTCGCTGTTGTCCCCTTATATCTAAACCCTCAAATCCATACAAGGCCTGAATCATCCTTCTTCGGGGGGCACAGACGGCCTGAGTTTGCTTCGTTGTGAGCTCAACGGCGGCGTGGCTCCGCTTCGCCCGGATCCAGACACGTGCATCCTTGTAGCCAATCGTCGTTGCAAGGCACACCTTCTTCCTTTCACGGAGGGAACGTTGTCCCTTGACCCCAACTGTGTCGCTACAATGGCAACATCCGGCGCATCTGTGCCCTTGTGCATTGTTGGCATTGGCCTCCGACTCCGAGCTTGACGTCGCGGGGACAAGGACCCAAGAGGCCATCCTCGGATGCTCTCTTAGGGCGAGTTGGGCCCTCCTCTCATTGGGCGCCTAATGCAGTGACAACACGGACAATCGGTGTGAGCTTACGTTGGAGGCGACGGCACCAATGGATGCCATCTGAAGTGGCAGATAAGGCACCCGACTAGTGGATCCGCTGCAGGCTTGCTCCGATGGTGGTGCTAGGCCATCTTCCCTGTAACACCCCCAGTGTCATGCTATAGTGACCTCACATTAATGGTGCCATATAATCAAGTTTAACTAAGCCAAATTGCCACTTGATAAAAATCAAAGCAAATTCAAATTTCAAGTCAAATTATTATTTCTTCAATCAATAATACAAAAATGTTGGTTAGGTTGCAAATAATCACTAAGGAATTATCATGTAGAAATCAACATCATTTGGCCCACAAAAAAATTTCAGGAAAAATAATAAATGGTCCACCAGCAGATATTTTGGCCTTTTCAAAATAAAACAAACACTTATGCTTTTCCAAACATTGTGGAACTTTGTGTGTGCTCTAGTAATATTGTGTGTAATTTATTTGCAAAGGTTCATTCAAAGCAAACATTGGTTGGTGGGCCAACTTAATGCAAAACAACGACAAAAGTACAAAATGGAAAAAGAAAAGAAAAGAAAACGATTTAAGCATGGTGGACTAGTAAGGCCCAGCCCAACATGGGGCTCCTTCTACCTCCTGCTACAGGAGGGGGGCAGATGTCGTGGCGGCAATCCATGGCGCCGGGGCTACCTGTCGCCCATCCCGCGGCTTCCGCCAAATGGACAAGACCACCCTCACCTTCCCTCGAACCCTAGACGCGATTTTTTCTTCTCTCGCTCGCTCCCTCGACTGTTTCTTCCACCCCCGAGTGCACTCATCGACGCCACCTCATCGTCCGTGTGGATAGGAGCCTCCTCGAGCCACAAGGTGGTGTCCTAGGGGTGCGCCTTCGTCGACCCCGTACCCTACGACGACCGATTCAAGCAAGGCTACGCCGAGCGGTCGTCATTGACTCGTTCCTCTACCTCGGACACCACCCCCCATTGTTGTCGATGCGCTCCTCCCCGAGCACCTCTGGCTTCACCGAGACGTCTGCGAGCCCCCCCTTGTGAGCTCCTCCTCCGACCTCCCATTCCTCAACCTTGACCCGTCGCCATAGTCGCCCGCATCCGACGAGTCCGCCATGGATGGGAGCTTCGCTCCTGTGTGTGCATGTGTTGTGTTGCTGCTCTTACTGTTGCGCCACCCCTGCCGCCCCCGACCGGCCCTCACTTCTGTCGCACGTGCACACCCATGCCCGTCTGCTCATGCGGCTCTGCTCGCCTCCTACTCCCGCCGCCGCCGGCCGAACCCGCCTCTGTCGTGCGCCCCCTAGCCGCAAGCCCTGCCACGCCTCGGCCGACCGCGCCTGTCCTGTGTGCACCCCCGCCGCTGCTCTCCTCCTGCACCACGCTCGCCGCAAGCGTTGCCACCTGCTGCTGGCGCCGCCCGCCTGCCCTTGCTCGCGCGTGGCCGCACCATGCCACTCCCGTGGTCTTGCGCTGACGCCGGGCCCTGCTCCCCACAGCCCTCCGCTGTGGCCTCTCTGGCCACCGGCGTTAACCGCCGGCCTGAGTGGCCTGTTACACTAACCCACCCCGCTGACCCACTGACACATGGGTCCCTACCGCTAATTAAATTTAGTTTAAAATAAACTCTGTTGGGGTCCGTACTTTCATTAGTGCAATCTCTCAACAATGCTAATATAATTGGATCATATAACCATCTCTCAACGTGCGATGAAGAATAACTCCAAAGTTCCTATCTAGCGGAGAACATAAGCAGAATTTGTTTGTAGCTATTCTTTCCAATCGATCTATCCAAGAGTTTGTACTAAAATAACACCAAGTTATTCTTTCCAATCGATCTATCAAGAGCTCATACTAAAATAACAGTAAGTTATTCTTTCCGATCGATCTATCAAGAGTTCATACTAAAATAACACCAAAGCAAGTTCAAATTCATTATACTCAATCCAACACAAAGAATCTCAAAGAGTTCCCCAAGATTTCTACCGGAGAAACAAAAGACGAGAACGTGCATCAACCCCTATGCATAGATTACTCCAATGTCACCTTGGGAATCCGCGAGTTGAGTGCCAAAACATATCTCAAGTGAATCAATATAATACCCCATTGTCACCACGGGTATTCATATGCAAGACATATATCAACTGAT